CCTTAGCCCCCTCATCTGCAAAGCCGAGGTGGGTCATTTGCTGCCGAGAACACAGCAAGGCAGCGCAGGTTCTCGCTCTGCAGCGGGGAGGGGTCCCCGGCTTTTGGAAGACCCTTGGTTACTCCTTCTGGAACGCCCTGTTGAGCCTGCATTCAGGAAAGGTGTCCAAGCTGTGGTCGCATTCCAGAAGAGCCACCTCTCAAAGACAAAGGATTGTAGTGATAAGGTGTGTGAACACCTGTTCTTTGTCCCAAAGAACCCAAAAGACTGCAACTGGCTTTTGCTTATCACTGTCACTTGCCATCTAAAAATGACTTCCTTAGTTGACCCTCAGTGCACACAAGTTTACTTAAACCTATTGGAAATCTTCTACCCAAAGGACCCCTGTTTGTTCTGAAAGGGTCGAAGATGTAGAAGCCTTATTTGCCATCGCTCTCAAGTCCCCCTTTTCATCCTGGGACAAGAACCCACTTTATCACATTTTATCAAGTGACACTATCTCTGCTGTCAATCGCTGACTTGCATCTTCATTTTTCACAGGCATTGTCTACCCTGTCACACCTTTACTGGGATGCGCTGTGTGTGATTCACAGTTTCTGTGATGGAGCAACTAGCCGCTGAAAGAGAAATCACTGTGTTAATAGTGCCGGGACACCCCCCCCCGCCCCCGAGAGCTGGGTGCTATCACACGGCCTGTAAGCCTGGACCTCAGACTTCCCTCTGTCCTCCCGCTGACTCGGGAGTGTTTGTAGACCAGTACTGACCGTTTTTTGAATTGTCTCTTGGCCTCCTTGACACATTTTCTCAACTTCTCCCTCACTACTGACTATTGCTTCCCCGTCTTTTTCATTGGCTCTTCTTGTGCCTTCTAGATCCCCCACACACGCATTTACTCGTGGAGAGGAATGTGCTGTGCCTCCTTTGTGCGCCGGGCCTTGCGCTCGGTCCGGGCCTGTGGTGGTGGACTAGACAGGCACAGTCCCTGCCACGGAGGCTCCCGTGCCAGTGACGGAGCCTGCCAGTGACAGGCAGCCACCAAGGGCCTAACTTATGATTGGGGAAGGATCACTACAGAGTTAGAGCCAACAAGAGCACAGTCAACTGGGGTCTAGACAGAGTCCCTCGAGCTGACACTGATGCTGCATGTGGGAGGATGAAGAAGGATTCACTGGGCCAAGGGTGGGCGGCGCCCCCCGGTGGAAGGGGTGGCGTCAGGAAAGGCCAGGCGGCCAGAAGGAGCATGGCATGCTGGCATGCTCCGGCCGGGGTGGCCAGAGCACAGGCGCAGAGTGCAGGCTCGGGGTGGCAGGGCTAGACTGCACAGGAATCTGCCAAGCCACCACAAAGAGTTTGGATTTCAGTTTAAGCCATTGGGGAGTTTTAAGCCAGGAAGTAGTCAGATCTGATTTTCATTTCAGCTGAATTGTGGAGAATGGATTGGCTGAAGTGAGCAGCAGGTCAGTCCCCTGCAGTGGCCCACAGTGCCCTGAGGCCTCTTTGTGTGTTTAAACTTGGATGTGTGGATTCTTCTTCCCAACCAGTTGTTCTTGGTTTCTTTGTTCTCATCACTTGTTCGGCTATTTTCATAATCACTCCGACTTGAAAACTCCAGGTCACTTGTATCAGCCTCTCCTTCAGCCATCACAGCTGCCTCGGTCCAGAATTCTTGCTGCACAAGTAGCTTCTCTTCCGTGAGTGTCCTCCCAGCTCTGATCCTGTCTGAGCAGGTGACATCACTTCTTCCTGAAACACCACTCACTGTCTCTCTCCTTTCCTCAAAACCTCGGCCCTTCCCCATCTCAGGGCGAGCCTGGGCTCTGCAGGGCCGGCCGTCGCCCCTGGTGCTCCACCGTGGTCCATCTGCTTCCCCCATTCCCATTATTATTTTCTGTTGTGCAATATAAATCCTTCACCCTCATCAGGAAGTAGTGGGATTCCTGCCCAGGTGGAGCTTTTGATCAACCTAAAGACATTTCTGGAGACAGAAATGAATGAAAAGATTTGCCCTTCGGGTTCTGGCAGGAAGATGGACGGAGATGATATTCAAACGCACCCCACCCCACCCCCCTCACTACAAGCATTTTGAAATGCTAGATAAATTTTGACAGCACCCCCTAAAATGTTAGTGCACGGCTGAATTTACAAGGAAGAAAGGAACTCCCCAGATGAAACAAATGGAGAGAGAGCCGGAAACCAGAACCAAAATGAATGGGCCAGCGCTGCAGCTGGGTCATTATCAGCTGGACTGACAGAGAGCGAGGTCGGCACACTTCTGTGAGGGCCAGGCAGCAAATGGATTAGGCCACAGACAGTAGGGTATCTTCTTTTTCTTTTGACAACCTTGTAAATATATACAAATCATTCTTAGCTTATGAGTTGTATAACAGACCAAAAGCCAGACATGGCCCATGGGCCACAGCTTACGCCTGAGAGAGACTTGGGTTCACACGCACATGAAGACAGGGCGGCGATGCGAGCAGGGGTGCTTAGTTCCCTGGAGGGAGTGTTCTGAAAAGATGGGACAATCAGGGAAAGGGGGTGTATTAGGAAAAATGCATGCCTTGTCACAGGGAGATGACAGGGAAGCTTGCCATATATTGTCACTCCTCAGTGTTTGAAACCACGGATGCGCTGGCTTACGTGGGTTGGGTTTGAAATTTGCACTACCTGAAACACAGTGAACCCTGCGAATGGAGCTCAGGAAGTCTCCGAAACAGAGGAGAAGACTAATTGCATTCTTATTTTTACTAACCTCTAACTGAGACTTAGCATTTTCTTCAATTAAGAAGGGAGTTAACAGACGGCAGTTGTGTTAGTAGATTTTACGTCTTTGTCACCAATAGAAATCACAGGTATTTTCACATCAAATGTATTGTATGAGTCTCTCAGAATTTTATATATAGAGAGAGAGATATAGATATATATTTATATATATAGATAGATAGATAGATAGATAGATAGAGAAAGAGATTAGTACGTTTCACTATAATTGGAAAATTTAAAACACACTTCTAAATAATTATTGGGCCAAAGAAGAAATTGTTGAAATTTCTGAAATATTTACAATTTGGGACCTAACAATGATTATTTCATATCAAAATTGTAGATTTAGAGGTAATATTTAGAAGATGGAAAATGAAGGAGTTAATTTTTAACTCAAGAAGTTAGAGAAAGAGCAATAAAGGAAATCCAGAGAAAGTCCACAAATAGCAGGGCTCACTGACTAAATATGAATGGTAGGAATAAGGAAAATAAATGCAGAAAGTAATGAGACAGAAAATAAACGAGAGATGATCAACAAAGTCAAACTCGTTTTTGGAAAAGTTTAATTAAACAGATGCACTTGCAGCAACACCAGTCAGGAGAAGGGGCGGGGAATGCACACAGATGCGTGGTCAGAAGCGAAGAGGTGTGGGCCCAACGTAGCATTCGCATCGTGAGAGAATAACGACCGGTTCTATGCCTGTACTTCAGAATACTCCAGGGAAAAATGGGCAATTTCCCAGAAAAATATAATTTAACAAAACTGACTCAACAAGAGGGAAAAAACAGAATTCCCAGTGTGGGAAACTATCCAAGTGTAGAGTGAGTGTTGAAAAGACATTGAGCAGCCATTCATTCATTCATTTATTCAACAAATGTATACTGAGTCTCCATGCCAGGCACCATCAGAGAAGCTGGGCTGCAGCGGTGAATGAAATAATCAAATCTCCATACTCTGTCAGCTCACTCTGTCAGTTCTGTCCAAAGAACTTTGTGGGATGATGGAAATGTTCTTTATCGTCTCCGTGCAGTGTGGGAGCCATTGGCTGCCAGCGGCTCTTACGCACTTAGAATAGGGTTAGTGCAACTGAGACACGGAATTTTTCACTTTTTTCCATTTAATTAACTGAAACATAAATAGCCAGATGTGACCAGCGACTACCTAGCTAATAAGATCAATAATGTGTTAATGGCTTCCTATAAGGTAAGCTATTGAATTCTCAGGATTCTGACCTTTCCGAAAGCAGTGCCTTAGTCTGAGGTGGGCAGCCCAGGTGGCCACACCACCACAGTCCTGTGGGTTTCACTCTTGTCCCTTTGGAGAGCATTTTCAGGTGCCTGACCGCATCTGTTCCTCACTTCCCTCTCAGGGCCTCAGTAGCTCAGGGATCGGTAAGTTTATTGATTGAGCACTTCCTCTGTGGCAGCCACACCCGTCTCTCCTGTCTGCCAGGATCCTGCTGGCCTGGGGAGCCTGGCGTGCTAAGCACTCATTACATGCTGGACAAGTGTGTTCTCCAGGATCTCCATCAGCCTCACGGGAACGGGCAATCCCAAGTCCAGAAGCATGAGCTGGGGAGGTGAGGTGGGCTGGCGGGCAGAGCTGAGCACCGGGAGCAGACGGCTGGGAGGGCCGGTGCTCGCCTTTGTCTTCCCCAGCCAAAAATGTTGGGAAATAAAACAGAAAAAAGTACTGACATAAAAATTTATATATGAAGAAAAAGTTCCTCTCTTGGATATTTTTACAGATGGATGACATAAGTATCTTGGCCTCAAGAAGAAAAGGCAAAGCCCTGTGGATAGTAGAGATCCTGGATTCTAGAATGAATCTCTTTGTCAACTCAAGTCTTTGGTTTATCGGCGCTGCATCAGCGCAAACAGGAAATAGGGCCAGGCTGCACATAGAAGCTAGACCTGGGGACTGAGTGCGCACAACCCTCCCTCACCCAAGTGCTGAGTGGGGAGCCCTCTCGGGCCCCCCCAGACCTGCCGCCAGGAGCTCCTGCGCTTTGCTGGCACACTCGCAAAGTGGCAGGTGCCGACTCGCCAGCGTCCCTGGAGCCCTTCCTTTCTGCACAGCCCCACACCCATCACACAGTGAAGCACGAACCAAAGGCTCCAAGGACACACACCTCCTGGAGGGCCATATCCCCATCCTCTCTGAGGATGTGTACTGGGTGTGCGGTGTTTGTCCAGTGGGGATCTCTCAAAGGTGTGCCTGTGCTTCTGTTTTCCAGGGATGATAATGGTGATTTTATTGCTGCTCGTGGCCATCGTGGTCGTTGCGGTCTGGCCTACCAAGTAGTGGCAATAAAGGAACCGCCAGCTCTGACACCTGCCGGCGATGGGAGAAAGCTCAGCACCCTTTTGATACCTGAAAGCTGCTCTCAATAAATTCCCTCAAAGCGCTGAGCTCCCGGAGTGTGCTGTTTTAGCAAGGCGGATTGCATGGTGGCTCGGAGCCTACCAGAGTGTCAGGCACAGCGTGGCCCTTTGGCTCCTACCTTGGTCATTTTGGTCCTAGCCCAAGGTTCTTCACATGGTCACTGCCAGTGGCTACCTGCTGATTCCACCCACCCTGAAGGTGAGCTGGCACAGGGGGGATAAGACCAAACTAGTAGGCACCTTGTAACCTTGACTGTGTGGTCTGCTAAGGAAGTCACGTGTCCATGTAGGAACTAAGTGAACGGTCAAGGGTGCTCGTGCAGGCAGGAAGGAAGGAGTGCCGGAGGGCTCTGTCACAGGCACGTGTCCCAGTGTGTGACCAGAGCCGTTCTCTTGTGACTCCCTGCAGACCTGGAAACATGTTCTTTTTCATTTCTTCGGTGATAGTAAACCCAGTTTCCAGGGCTGGAACATCTTTTTTTTTTTTAATTCTCATGCAAGAATATGTTTATTGATTTCAAAGAGAGAGACATCAATTGGTTACCTTCCACATGCACCCCAACCGGGGATTGAACCCACAACCTTTTGGTGTATGGGATAACACTCCCACCCACTGAGCCACTAGCCAGGGCTGAAACATCTTTAGAAGCAGCTAGAATGAAGCCTGTTGAATAAGGTGGGTGGGGTGGGAAATGATCAGTCTGGAAAGTACTGTTCAGGGTTTATAGAAAGGTGTGGTTATCAAGTCAAGAGAACTGTACCTCCACTTGGCTCCTAAACAGGCTGATAACCAGTGCATGAGCATGCACAGCGTGTGTGTGTGTGTGTGTGTGTGTGTGTGTGTGTGTGTGTGTGTGTGTGTGGAAAGGGCAGGCCTGCGGGGGGCCTCCAGGCCCACGGGAGCAGCAGAGAGTTCTGGGCCAGAGCGGGGAGGGCCCAGCCTCATGCCCTCTCTCCCATCTGTACAGAAAGCAGGCTGGGCCAGCTGACCTTGCTTTGCCCTTCATGGCAAAAGGGGAAGGATTTGGGGTTGGTGACAGGGCAGGATCCAAAGCACAGGATTTCACCGAGGAAGAGCAGAAAGCAGGCCTGTGGTGGGGAGTCCCAGAGGGAGCGCCTGTGGATCTCCTAGATACTGTGAGCAGCTGCTCTCCAGCGGGCATGACCGGGCCACTCGCGCTCAGAGACAGGTGGGGGAGGAGCGCAGCGCTGCCTGACGCAGGGCCTCCCCCAGACCTGAGGTTCCTCTCCACCCACCTGCACTGGGGGAACAGTGTGGGGACCACGACTTCCTGGGCTAGCTGTAAATTACTGCCAAGCGTGGGCCACCTATTCCTGGCAGCTCTTCCCAAAAGGGGCTGGGTCACCTCAAAGCCCCAGTGGGCCCAGCTGTGCCTGAGCAGTCCTTCCATCTGCTGTGTGTGTGGCTGTCACGTACACTTCTCTCCCATGAGAGGCAGCCCAGCCTGCCCAGCTTCGCACCGGGACTCTGTATCAGCCAGAACAGGCAGGACAGCGCCGCCTGCACAGCCACCCAAACAGGAGTGGCCTAGACACACCCAGACCTGGGCATCTTGCTCCAGCTCTGAGTCCCTCGCAGGTCAACATGGTGCTCCGGCGACATCTCACCCAGAGCCTGGGCCATGGGATAGCCTCTGTGGGTTCTGGCACCACCTCCTCTGCTCCCAACTCATTGGCCAGGACAGTCACCTGGCCCTGCTCATCCACGAAGGGACTGGGAAGTACCCAGAAGGCGGAGAGCCTGAACCAGGCGGTGAACGGCCCCAGTGATGACCACACACTTACCAGCTGTGTGGCCAAGGCCATGAGGAGCAGGTGAGTTAGACACAAAGCTCACGGCTCAGCCCCACCTTGAAACCCAGTGGGCCAGACAGCCTCCAAATCCATGCTCCGGAGTTCCACCCCACTCTCTCCACACAGCACAGCAGAGACAACTCCTGTGAGGGACAGTGATCAAGCCTGGGCAAGGCAGAGCTCTCCTTTCTATTTGGACCCTAGTGCCTGAGGACCTCCAGGGGCTGCCAGTATATGCAGCCCCAGGCTCGGCCTCAGATGGTGAGGCCCTGTCACAGATTTGGTAGAACGGCTGGGCTATGTTCTGACCGGAAGGGCCAAGGCTTGAGAGGGCAGGGAGCAGAGGCGGGTCTGAGCGTGAGCCACGCTGCTGTGGCACTGGGTTGCAAAGTGCAGGAGAGGAAATGGAAGCAGAGTTCATTCAAAGGGGTGCGCACACTCCTGAAAGAGGAGCCATGCTGGACAGGGGGCCCAGGCTTTGGGACAGTAAGGCGCCCTGGGCTGCATTTTGCTTGTGGGGTGGGAGCAGAGTGGTTGCCAGTGGATCGCCCAACAGAAGATCAAGAATTTGGAGAGCCACATCTCTCAGTGCTGTCGAGCAAAACCCCAAATCTATAGAAACAGTGTCTCCCTGGAGTCCCCCACTTTGGGGCTCACGGGAGGCAACACCGAAGGTCTGTTTGACTTTCTCACCTCCTCTTGACTTGCTCAGCACGGAGCCCCGGCAACTCATGGGGCGTCTTTGAATCAGAGCCACAGCGTTCTGGCTCAGCCACACGGAAAGGCCTTTTCAAGCCAAACACTGAGCTGATGTCTGCACACAACAGCTTCTGTTCTTTAGATGAGTGGGCTCCAGGCCCAGCCCAGCACAGCTAGCTGGGCGACCTGCACAAATGACTTCACAACTCTGGACCTACAAGCAGGGGAGGGGTGGAAGAGCTGGCCAGGTGAGACTTCGAGGGCCTGCCTTCTGGGCCTGGGCAGCACTGGGCCCAGAGGGTCCCCTGCTCCTTAGCTTTCTTGGGCTGGGCTTCCCACATGACATACCCACCCCACTCTGAACCAACTGGCAGACCAGAAGTGGCAGGACACTTCCGAGCCACTCTTGGGGATGTATTGCATCAGGACCCACTCTGGAGCGACACAGCTAAGGTAAAGTTGGCATTTTCTGGCAGGGTTTGGTAAGGGCTGCTTCTCCCCTTCCAAGGTGTCAGGAATGCAGCCAAGGTGGTCCCCTGCTCAGAGTCTGTCAAGTGAGCTGCGAGACCTTACTCTAATCAAAAAGGCAAGCGGCAAGACAGGGCTTTAGCACCCATACCTTGGGTGCTTTTTCAGTGAAAATAGACTTTACTAAAATAACAGTATAAGTATTGTTTAACTTAGCTGATTATTAATTATAAGCATTTTGAGTCTGGATACCATATAAAGAAATCCAGATACTTGGTTGTGACTGGTACTTTTTTGTTCCATTGAAATGTCATTATTAATAACTGTAACTAAGCCTTGGCCTTCCTTAGCCCCAGGATGATCTGCTCCTTTCCCGACCTGCAGGGCCCCTGTGGGGCCCTGGGACCTCCTTCCACAAGGCTGCAGCAGGCTCTCTACCGACAGTGCAAGCTACCCACCTGCCTGGAGCTGCATTTTCCCTCCCAGCCAGCAGGGCGGCCTCCCCTTCCTGCAAACCCCCATCCCTGCTTCTTCAGAGCTGTTTGCAAAGACTGACAATCATCTTTTATCTGGTTGGGTTTTGTAACCTCACCCCACTGGTTAAGTGGAGTCCCCCCCCCATAGTCTTATTTTAACAAGTGGGCCAAGATTCACCTTCCCTCTAGTTCTGTCCAGCTTCTGACATCTTCCCAATGTTCCTCCTTCCAGAATGAGCTGGTGTGCCTGCCGTCCAGCCTGCCCTTCAATAAAGCAGTGAGCTCATCCGTCCATGACTATTTCCCACTCTGTTCGTCTCTCACTCCCCGTTTTTCTTGGCATGTTTCTGATGTCTTTATATAGACTTAAGAGAGCATAGAAAGAGGTGTCTGTGCAACAAAATGTGAGACCCTAGAGTGTCTCTGCCATAAGTGGGCAGAGCCCCCCCAGGCACTGGCCCTGGGCAGGGTGGGGGCAGGGAGGGTGGCTCCCTGGGAGTCAGCCGGAGCCCTCCCGCCCACCAGGGTCTCTCAGCTTCCTCACGCCCAACCATGCCGGTCTCTACAATGGACTCTCCCGACCACCTGGGGCCCATACGTGGCAGCGACCCACCTTATCTCCTGCTCTGTGTTTGTAGGTGGCAAAGCCTCTCCCCGAGTGAGGTAAGCGCTGGGAGGCAGCAGGGCTGCTTACAACCTGCATCCTACTGTGTCCCTGGTCAGGGGTTTCCTTCAGGCCTTGGGACTGGGCTGCAGCTGCCCCACAGGGCCCAGCAGTGGGGACTCCCGGGGGAGATGACACTGCCAGTCACAGACAACTTTTTTCTGAAGGGCAGAAAAAAAAAACACATCATGCAAGTCCTTGAGAACTGGACCCTTGAACAGAATGACCGCAGCTGAGATTTCCACATGCGGCACAAGCCTCTGAGCCCCGGTCTCGGCAAAGGGTCCAGCTGGGTCCGCACTGAGCTGGGGAAGGGCCGGAGAACAGCTCCTGTTCCTCAGAGCCTGCCCTTTAAGGAGGCTGGGCCGGCCCTTTCCTGCCTGAGGGGGGGCCGCGGGCCCCTCAGCCAGCTCCCCCCACTGCGGGGAAAGGGCTTGCCATGCCGCCCAGGTGCCACTTGAATCCGAGCTGCCGAGGGGCCGGACTAAGCCCGTCTTGGAGACTTGTCTTAGAAACAGCTGGGTGCAGAAATTACGGCTTCCTGGTGACGATCAGCTCCACTTTGCACAGCAACACAACATGTTCCTAATGACAGAATTGTTTATTTAATAAAGAAATCACGACCATTTGGAGGTTTAAATATAGTTTCTCAGAAACCCAGTGAGCTCAGCTCCCGGTGGCAGTGTGGCGCTGGCGGCGGCCCAGCCCCTGCTCCACGCAGAGCCTTTAGCAATGGCTGAAAAAATCTTGAGTTTTACTAATAACCCTGTTGTCTTTTCTCATGAGTCTCCTCTCACCTTTGAATAGGAGAAACTGGTTCTGGGGAAGACAAGAACTCTACTTGCAAGTTCCAAATCAGGGGGGACGTTCCGAGGTGCACGCTACCTGGCTGCTGACCGTGGGGCAGGTGGACAGAGCCCTCTCTCCTGCGGTGCTGGGAGCTGGCTGAGGGGCCCACCTGGAGTCCCCAAACCTGGAGCCCCAAGGAGTGGCAAGGATGGATGGCAGGGATGGTTCTTGGGAACTTAAATGCAGTTTGATCCATTTGAGAGATTTTTAGCTTAAAATCACATTGAAGTCACCCAACCTACAGCAGTGTCCGAGCGAAGCCGCCCCACCCCGTCTTTTGGTGGCTGCAGCTCTGTGTCAGGCTTTATGAACAGTCGTGGCCCTGTTTTGCTGGGCGGTCCTCAGAGCACAGTCCATATTCCTTAAGCGGCAGACACCCACCGTCCTCCTCCCTCCCTGCATGCGCGCCACCCATAGCTCAGGCCACAGTCACGACTGGGAAACGAACAGTGTACAAGAGTTTATTTAATTGATATTTGAATTTAGTTCTATCATGTGGGGCCCACATCTGGGGACCATTACAACTCTAACAAAAAAACTTAAAAAAATGCACAACTTTTTTCATGTCATTAAATATATTCATATATAATAACCATAATATATTAGTACGCATTGGAAGGGACACTGACCCAAACAGCATGTCATGGTCACAACTAAACATTTACCATTCCGAGTGAACAGAACCCCGAACAAGACCCAGGAGGGGACGGGGAGGTGGGCCGTGCACTGGGGAGCAGGGGTGGGAAGGCAGGGCCGAGGCACCCGAGTGGGCAGCTTGGTTTGGGCAAAGGGCGGGACCCCAGAGCACACATGTCGATACCCCTAGGGGATGGCGTGGCTGCGGCCACAACCTCGGCCCAGGAGCCCCGCCAGCGAGCCTGGCTTGGCCACTCTGTCTCTCTCTTGAAGCAGGGCTTCCTTTGACCATGGAGACCCCGACACTTTTCGGTTTCCTGGAGGGGCCATTTCTTGATCCCTCAGAGTGTCCTTGATTTCGGTCTCATTCCAACCTGGGGCAGACCCAGTAAGGGCTGGACCCATTTCCTGCACACGACTTTGGAGGCAGAATTGCAGGAGGTCACTAATGGCCTGGGGGCAGCTCAGAAGCCGCCCCGGTTGGACCGGAGGTGTCCCTCCCTGCCATGTCCCAGGACCTGAGGATGCGGCCTCCTGCCCTGCTTCCTCAGGACAACGGCCACCGCCGTCTGGCGAGCACGGGGGCGGCCCCACGTCCCCTCCTTTCTCCCTACCCCACTGTTAGCTGCACTGTGTGTCAGTAAAGCAGGGACTCTGCTGTCAGGAGCTCCAGACCACCCAGCAGGTGAGAAAAGGGAAAACTGGGGAATCTGCTTGTTTAAAAAAAAGACTAATCTGGTATGTTTTTTTCCCAAACACCTACATATCACAATTCTGGTTAATACACTCTTCAAAATCAAAATCTAGTTCCATTTTACATCCCTTCCTAACTGTACAAATTAGCACACCTCAACTCCTAGTTCTGTCTGCACCCTGGAATGGGGCTGGGGTGGAAGAGGGTGCTCCCAAGGAGGGGTCCTCACTGCAGAAGTTGGTGGCTGGCCTCGGGAGTGGTGGACCAGCTCCGGCTGGGCAGCGAGGTGAGCCCTGGGAGGGCTCACATCCCAACGGTGTCCTCACGGCCTCCACCTGGCTGACCCGGCCAGGGCCAGACCACCGGGTGGACCAGAAGGCCTTTGCCCTCGGGGTGCAGGACAGGAGGGTGAGGCTGGAGGCTGGCTGAATTTAAAGCAAGATACATTATGGCTTGGCAGGCTACTGAGGGGCCTCGGAGACCACCAGTGCCCGCCCTTCATGGGTCTGGGGTGACTCAGACACCGGGTGGGAGGCCGCAGGGCTGCCACGGCTCTTCTGGGCAGGGCCAAGCAGCCAGGCTGGGGGAAGGAGGAGCAGGAAGGGGCCCAACAGGGAGTGCCTTTACAGGACCGTGGGCCTGCGAAAGGCTACAGCGTCCAAGGAGGCCTGGCCACCAGGAGAGGTCCCTGTGCTCCCGGCCCCGGGCTTGGACTCAGGGAACACAGACATCCCTTCCCAGGGCCGTTCTGTCCTCTCCCTGCCCCGTGGGCATCTGTGCCAGTCTCTTCTGGAATTCCTCCAAACACCCCAAGCAGCCAGATGCCCTTTCCACTGCATCTCACATCAGCCAAGGCCTGCCTTCCAAATCCTGGGACTTCCAGGAGTTGCCCCGTGGTGAGTTCACAACCAGCCTCGCCCACCACTCTTGCTGCACCTCTGAAGATGTTCTTGTGCCCGTCCCTCCCCCACGTACTTCCATCCTCCGGGCCAGGGGCAGTGTCTCAGTGGTGACCCCCAGGAGCAAAGCTAGTGTGCAGTGACCAAGGAGGGGGCAGCACAGCCCGTGGCCACAAAGCCTGGCTCTGGAGTGTGAATCCAGTTGTGCCGCTTATTTGCCTGGTGACCTTGGGTACATGTGCTTCAGCTTCCTCGCTGGTGAAAGTGGGGGTGAGCACCCCTGCCTCACAGGGTTGTCATGAGAATAACAGGTCTCGTGGGTAAAGTGCCAGGCATCAAAGGGCAGCCAGGACGGGGCCTGCGGCAGAGGGGGCAGAGGGCAGCCAGACCACAGGGGCACCCTTCAGACTTAGTGTGACCCTTCTGAGCCGGCACACTCCAGTGAAAGTGAAACCAACTTCCTGCCCAAGAAGGGAGCCGGGCTTCTGACTGAGTGTGCCAGGCGTGGCCGCCAGGCAGTGGGGAGAGCGCAGGAGACAGGGAGGCACAGGCCCAGGGCCAGGCGGTCAGACCCAAGGTCTGGGGTGCCTGCTTGAAGACAGGATCTCTGGAGAGCTTTGGACTGGTGTCTGGCCACACCTGAGGGCCTGGGAGGCCTCACTAAGGGGACAGCCGGAAAGGTGTAGGAGAGGCGCCACCCGTGCTAAACCAAGACGGCTGCCGAGGGCAGCCCCGGAGTGGGGGCAGCTCCAGCAGACTTTCTCTCCCTCCCTTTGGGGAGCGACAGGAAATGGCCGTGGTTTCCTTGGTACCCAGGAACCTGGTCCTTCCTGGCCCTGCCTGCCCATGGTGTGGGCCCTCACCTTGCTGAGCCAGCAGGCCCACCCCAGCAGCCCCCTCCCCCAGCCGGGCCTAACCGCCCTGCGGCCTGCATTCCATGCCCATCCAGGCCCTTCCCAGCTGTTGACACTATTGAGGGGCCTTGTGGGAGCTGATGTCATTACACAAATAGTGTCACTGCCATAAACCCAGCCAGTGCCCCTTCCCCCTCCCCTGGAAAATGTCATAAAGGGGCTGGTTCCAAGTTTCCAAAAAGGAAACTCTCTGGGAGGTTTTGCCTTCCCGATGCCTCCTCCAAGAGGCAGCTCCAGTCTAGGCAGTGACCACCCGGCTTGAGCTTCTCAGGGGTGTCTTTGGGTCTGCGGCCCTCTGCCTGGGCCAGAATCCTGGGCCTGCACCCAAACCCCAGCTGGGCGGGGGGCGGGCACCCGCAGGCGCTTCTGCTTCTCTGACTGGAACATTGTGAACCCCTGTCCCCACCCAGGATAACCCATTCAGCAGGTGACAGAGGAGACCGGCAGCCTGTGTGGAGGATCCTGGTGGTACAGGCCGCTTCCGCTGCCCCCAGTTGCATGCCTAGATCCTTCAGATGGGGCTCAAGTTGTCCCAACCAGGGGGTCCTGTAGCAAAAAAGGGTCAGGGGGAGGGGAAGGAGGGGATTTTCGGTCTTTTATGTTTGGTGTGGTAGTTCGGCTGGACTCGCTCAGCCCCCGGCCCAAGTAAGGGCCTGAGAATTCACAGTTCTCCTCCTCACGTGCCCTTCTCCCTAACCACAAACAGGCCGTAGGTGCGGCCCCACCTGCGCTGTTCTGCGCCAGTCCCTGGAGCCCAGGTCTGCCCCGCCCCCGCCACAGCGACCCTGCCTGGCCCTTAGGGAAGCGCGTCCCTGCTCTGGAAGGAGCCCGTGAGGTAGCTAAGTCTCGTCCTCATTTCTCCAGGGCCTGGCCTGCTGCGCACCCCTCCCCACGCGTGGGCGCGGCTCCTGCGGGAGGCGCGCAGAGTGGGGTGAGGGGCAGGGCCCCCCCAGGAGAGAGGCGGCTGCGAGCCCCGCCCCCGTGCCGGCCGTGGCCCCGCCCACACCCTCCCCCCACCTGGGAAAGCCCTCGCGGGCCAAGTCCAAGTCGCTGTGGGGCGCGCCGAGCCTTCTCCCTCTCGGCAGGCCCCGCGCCCCGTCCGCCCGCCTGGCGCGCCGCTGCCTCCGCGCTAGGCCTTCTTGCACTTGCCCTTCTTCTCCCGCTGCTGGAACTTGCGCAGCCGCCGCGCCCACGTGTCCCGCCACTGGATCACCAGGCTGCTCTTGTCTGCCACGATGCCACTTTGGTCCGGCGAGTCCTCTGCGTTGCCCAGCAGCAGGTACTTCTTGAGGGGCTTGATTTTGGGGCACTTGCAAGCAATGTCCCGTGAGCGGATCCACAGGCTCTGGTCACCCCGCCGAATGCGGCTCGTGCCCTGCTTGTACACCGAGATGATGTTCACCGTGAACTTCCACCAGTCCCCCGCCTTATCTGCCTTCAGGATGTGGATCTGGACCGCTGCAAGGAAGCACAGACAGGCGGTGGGCCACGGGACTGCCTCCTGTGGCCAGGCCAGTCCCGTCTGCCTGTACCCTCTCCGAGGCTGATGTTGGGCCAGCCTGTTGAACGGAGAAGGAAGACGTGTCCCCAGCCCTGGGAAGTGGCCGCACAGGGCACCCATCTGAGGAGTGGGCTAATGGTGGCAAAGCGAAACTGGAACCAACTCCTGATATCTGGGCCAGGGCCACTGCTTCCAGAAGTCTTACCTCATGGCTGTTTTGAAGGTGCCACCTAGCACTGCCTTTGGGGACAAGCTCCCTCTTAGGGTCGAGGAAAGCAAGAAGAAACCTATAGAAACTGACCCTCTCCCCCTCGACCAGCCCCCTGGATCAGGTCCATCTGCCCAGGGCAGGTGCCTTCGGAGCAGTGCTGAATAGGGGAAGGGGGGTGGGACACAGACAGGACACAGGACCTCTTCAGGTGCCCCCCCTCTGGCATTTCCAGAGGACCCAACCACTTAACACCAAGACTCAGGATACCTCCAGACACATAACCTTATACTTGACTCAGTCTCAGAAAACCATGATGGGATCTCAATGCCCAGGCACAGTCACCCCGAACTTACAGTTCAAGGTGCCCACAGCACCTTTTCCAGAGTCCAGAGTTCTCGGAATGCCCACATGCCATCCCTGCCAGGCCACCCTCCCTCCCACCCTCACCTCTCAAATGCCCCCTGCATTTCCCTTTCCTCCCAATTCTCTGCTAACATCTCCCCTAGTACAGGGGTTCTCAAACCAGAGGTCTTGGCAAAACATGAGTTTCTATTCAAAAGATCTGGGGAGAGACGGTGGGGGAGAACATGCATTCCGTGGTGCGGCCGAAGCTGCTCTCCCAGGGAACCCACCTCAGGAGCCAGTGCACCAGCCTGTGTTACCAAATGTCATTTCCACGGGATAATGAGGTTTTAAAAAATAAATAAGTAAATAAGAGGAAATGGCCCTGGCTGGTGCAGCTCAGTGGACTGAGCACCAGCCTGCGAACCAAAGGGCCTCCTGTTCCATTGCCAGTTGGGGCACATGCCTGGGTTGCAGGAAGGGTCCCCAGTGGGGGGGCGCTCAAGAGGCAACCACACATGGATGTTTCTCCCCCCCTCACTCTCTGTCTAAAAATAAATAAATAAAGTCTTCTAAAGAATAGGAGGAAATGCTTTAGAAAAACAAAAAGCGGGGAGCCCTTGCTCAACTATATTTTTCAAACTGGGTTAAAAAAAAGTCAAGAAACTTCCTTCCTGGACTTTTCGGAGCCTCCCGGATACGGATTCTGCATGTGCACCCACACCGCGCACGTGTTGGTTTCCCAAACAACCCTGAGTGCAGAGCCCTTTGGTTGGTGCCTTTCAGGTCCCCCGCGACCCAAAGGGTCTCCTTAGGGAACTGCTGGCACAGGGACACCCCCAGGGGAGAAGCCTCTGCCGAAATGGCCTCTGTTCATGGACTCAGGCCCTGGGCTACTAGGGCGCAGGAAGACTAAAGCAAGGCTATAGGAACTGACCACAGTCAAGGCCTGTCTATTTCCCAACCCCTTGGTCAGAACAGAGCACCTTCCCCTTGCTGAGCCCACCCAGCCCACCCTGCATCCTCCCCCTGGACCGGGCTGGAGATTACACTGGCTGCTGAGTGGGCTTGAGCCCTCCTGAGGAAGGAGCAGTAGCTTGTCCCTCTAGATTACAAGTGAAGAAACTGAGGCACAGGCAGGCTCAGGGGCTTCAGCAACCAGGAGGACAGGTCCCCAGGGAATGCCTACGTCTTGTCACCTGTCCACTTACAGCTCCAGTAACTGGACCCGCCTACACCTCGGCCAGGCCTCCCATGCTGGCCGGCTTCTCAAGGATGCTGGGGCCACTCCGCCACCTTCACTCCCGGGGCCCTTCCTGCTCCCGTCCTGTGCTGGGAGGTGGGGAGGGGGAGGGATGGCTAGGCCCAGGGGAGCAGCAAATGCCATCCAAGTCATCCCTTTGGAGCGAGGGAAATGGCAGATTTTCCCATATTTTCATTTCAGCTGTTCCTGGGCATCCTGAACTTTGCACTCCAGTCTGAGGACTCCAAAGAATGGTTGTCATGGCAACTGTTTCCATGTTTTCGTCACCAAGGGACTCAACACTCAGTGTGAACTCTGATGGGGGTGGGGAACCCTCCAGCCCCAGAGAAGTGGCTGGGTTGTGTGTGTTTGACTGTGCAGACAGAGGTCACCGTGGCAACTGAGTGCCCCTTAGCTAAGCAACGGGGAGCCACCCCCCCCCCCCCCCCCCCCACCCTGCTTCCCAGAGAGCCCTGATTTCCTCTCCTCAGGACTGAGCTGAATACAGAATGAGCCTCCCTCAGGGTGAGGCTGTTTCCCTGCACGGGACCACAGCCACAGCATCACAGCAGGCAGGGGTGGCCCGACGAGGTGCCTCTCGCTGGGACCCTGGAGAATTTGGCATTGATCTTAGGCACTAAGCGTCTGTTGGTGTGAAATGTGTCCCCACCCCAAATTTCCACATTGAAGTCCTAACTCCTGATACTTGGTGTGAAATGTGTCCCCACCCCAAATTTCCACATTGAAGTCCTAACCCCTGATACTTCAGAATGTGACAGTATTTGCAGATGGGATCTTTAAAGCGGCGATCAAGATGAAGTCAGTAGAGTGGGCCCTAATCCAATATCGCTGCCGTCCTCATAAGACGAGGAGACGAGACAGACACACACAGAGGGGCCACGTGAAGACCCAGCAAGAAGGCACCGTCTGCAAGCCAAGGAGAGAGGCCTCAGAAGACACCAGCCCTGCTGACACCTTGCCCTAGTACTGCCAACCTCTGTCTGTCTAAGCGCCGCACCCCCGCGCCATCTGTAGTCTTTCCTCTGGCAGCCCCAGAAAATGAACACGGTTGGAACCGGTGACTGGCGACGCGGGGCCACAGCTCCAGGGCAGGCAGAGGCAGACCAGACGAGACCAGCCGTGCGGAGAAGGACTGGCTGGGCACCGTCAGGCCTTCTCACTCCCTGGACTAGCAAGAACTGGCCCTTCGAAGGGGGACTTGACACCTGCCCCACCTTCCCTGGTCCGGAGCACCCCCACCCCAGGAACGCCCTGGGGGCCCCACCCCACTTCCCCAGGCATGGCCAGCGCAGGCCTGAAGGGCACCTGCTTAACACGGAGGACACAACTCAGAGGGGCGCCCACCCCTGGACGCCTTGCTGTTCTCGAGAACCCAGGGGTCAAAACAGGGACACTGGTCAGTCGGGACAAAGCACTGCCCCTCGTTCTGCTCCCACCCTGGCAGCTCCTGGCAGCTCCCTCACCATAGGGTGAGACAGCACAGGCCCGGGGCAGGGGCAGGGGCAGGGGCAGGGGAGGGCGGTAGTAGGATTCCAGTGATTATACTGGAAAAAGTCCACATTTCCGCTGCCCTTGGCAACGCCTCCGCACATTACACAGCCCACCAAGTATGAGCTGCACACGCAGAGCACGGGCCAAGTCCCTGCAGTGCACATACAGCTGAAAATATTCAAGATACACATTGAAAGAGTGACCTCAGGCAGAGACGCTCAGCACGCAGCAGGCACGCTGGCACGGCACGGCTCGGGGGCCACCGCCACCTCTGACGGGCCCGCCAGGGTCTCCCGGTGCCATGCACAGTGGCCCGGGCCACTCTGCCCATTCTGGGACCATGGCCCCCGAGGGTGGGCCCCTCCTCCCCTCACAACATTCACCAGGCCAGTTTGTCTCAGACCTTAGGACACCCAAGTCCCCTTGGTTTGATGGCCTAAGTGGACCCCAAGGAGGCCAGAACATGGGTTTGGTGAGGATCCCACACCCTGTACTGGGATTTGAAGATGACCCTCGAAGGGTCATGACCCTCAGAAAGGACGGCCACAAGGTCGGAAGAGGACAACAAGAGGTGCACTGAGAGCCCTTAAATCAGAGACTGGTCTGCAGGAAGAGGGTCCCAGCTTGAAGGCAGAGTAGCCATTCTCTGAAGCAGACACAAGGGAGCACCTGAGGCAGACGCTGGCCAGGAAGGCATGCCAGGGCCCCAGCCTGCTGGTGCTGTGGGCCCACTCTGTCCCCTCTCAGGGTCCACACCTCAAAGGCCCTCCCATCCTAGGAGCCCTTGTTCACACCAAAAATGGGGGCTCACGCTGGGCCATGTCCCATGGGGCCCCGCTCTCAGAGTGCAGACGGAAGCAGGCACCGGAGCCTACAAGTCGGGGTGGGTGAGGCTGGCCCCCAAGGAGCCCCCAACAGGCTGCAGAGGAGGTGTCTGCAGGACGGAATAGACACCAGCATAAAAGCAAGGGGAGAGGGAGCAGGCTCCGGAGAGCGAGGCCTCCAGGCCCCCGGGGGCCTGACCACACTTGGCTCCTAGTGTCCCTGCACTGCCCAGACCGGTGCAGTGCACGCTCCTGTCCTGTGGCTGGCTGGCCACAGAGTTCTGTTGATGAGACTGCTGGCTGACCAGCCAGGGAGCAGCTGCCCCCCCCCCCGCCCCCCCGCCACCAGCAACTCTGGGGGCCACATGAAGGGCCTGCATGCAACTAACCCTTCTCAGCTGCTGGGTGGGGCCATGAGGACCGACTTCCCCTGCTCCAACTCAAGCCTGCCACTCTGGCTGGCAGGAGCACATGCTTCTCTGTCCCTCAGCAGAAGCCTGTGCCTGGCTCTGGAGAGACACCGTTACCCCAAAAGGACAAGAAGGAGACCAAGGGCCAGGGCCACGGAGGCCAGAGTCCGCGAGGACAGCCTGTGCCATGGTGGGGCAGAGGGGCAGCAGCCTCGGAGGTGGGCACCCGGCAGCCTGGGGACTGTGCCCAGCGCCGGGGGCCCTCGCAGGGGCTGTTTCCTGCACCCCCGAACAAAGTTCGAGGCACTTATGCGTCCTTCCGTAGCAACAGAGCTCTGGCCACCTTCCCAGGGCGCTTCAGCCCCAGCAGTCTGAGAAGCAGAAAGCTCCACGTCCCTTTCTGTGACTGGACTCC